AAATAATTTTTTTAAGGACATTTTTCAATTTTCAAGGCAGGTTTGGGCAGTTTTTTGCTCTTGTTTTTTAAATTTTCTTACTGGTGTCTGTTATGGTTCAGATCTAAAACGTTGCCCGGAAGTCGTCTGGAGGTGGGGCCTGGCAGAAAGGACCTCGAACTGCGGTGTCCTCCAGTCTCTCTGCAGCCCCTCCCACCGTGCAGCCTCTGCCTGGGGGTTGGTCAGCCCTGGACTGAGCCAACCAATCGTGGGCTGAATTCTGGGAAAACGACAAGTCAAAATAAAGTTCTCCTTGAAGTTTTGGGTGTCTGAGTACTTGGTCCCAGAGATAGGGAAGTGACTAATACAGCGTCTCACCTTTTTTGTTTCTCACATTTGACCTTGAGAACTTTTTCTTTTTGGAAGGGAGAAAAACATACATACACATACACACCCGACTTCCCAAAATATTACTCTTCCATCTAAAACTGGTTTCGTTTCACACGTTTTCTTTTACAATTTCTCTTGGCACCTCCACTGCTATTCAGTACGGCTCAGCTACCCGGGTGTGAAGGCGGAGAGCTGGTTTCTACGGTAACCACAGACAGGGAGGTACGCAGCTCTGGAGGCTGATGCTACACCTGGAGACGACGCACACCTGTCCGCAGCAGGGGTTAGGAGAGAAGCCCTGAGATCCTCAGGAGGGAGGAGTGGACACCTCTCTGGGGGAAATGACTCCAGGGACCCTGAGTGAGGAGACAAGAACCGCGAGCAACAGGGAAAGCATATTGGTCCCAGCACTGTGGGAAGAGAGTTCAAGGAGGAAGCGGCTAGAAGGCAGAGGCGCCGGGCTGTTCCTAACCCCGGCCGCCCGGGTCTCCTCAGTCAGCTTGGCAGCTCCTCCGTCTATCTAACAATCTGCCCAGGCACTGTTCTCTGGCTCTTGGATCTCCTCAGTGCCTGGACTTGCAACACAGAAGCGGTCAGCTGGTTGTCAACATGGACGCAGGCCCAGGAGGCTGCTTGGGCTCGCGGCTCTGGACCCCGGACACATCACTTTACCTCCCTGGGCCTCTGTTTGAGCCACGTGAAAACAGATAACAATAGTTAACAATAACTACTTCGACAGGTGGCTGTGAGGTTCAAATGGTTACTACTCGTAGTTTGCCTACAGAAGTATTTCCATAGGAAGCACTATATATATCTAGGGTTTTATTATTACTTAAAATCTGATTGGGAATTTCCAACAAGTTGACTGAAGATATTGAGTGACAGTAAAATGAATTCTGTATCAGAGATTTTAGCGTTGGCTATTCTGCTACTCAGAAGTATTCTAGAAAAATCCAATTCAGCTAAAAAAAAAAATAAAGCAATAAAAATGTTTGACCTTAAGCATAAATACTTTGTCTGCCACATCATCTTTGCAATTGATAAAGGCTTAAAGAGGAGTAAAAGATCTCCAGTAAAGCCAGATGTAGTGGCACATGCCAGTGACCCTAGCAACTCAGGAGGCTAAGGCAGGAGTACAGAGAGCTCAAAACTAGCCTGGATAACTCAGCCAGACTCTGTTTCAAAAACAAAACAGCCAACCCAAAACGATCTCTAGTAAACAGAGGCACAGTCTCTCCAGTGGAAGTTTTATTTTGCCAGGGCTGTCCCTGAACAGCACCCCAGAAGGAGAATGATTATAATTTAAAGGGTCATCTTTCTAGAAAAAACACCCAGTTTGGTCTTGGCGTTTCTGCCCACGAGAAGCTGCTTCTCCAGAAGTTCAACTGTGTACCCTCTGCCCCCCCCAGTTCTGCAGCAACTTGGCTATTTAATCAAATACTGAGTTTCTAGAATCCCTCTCAGACAATGAAAGCCACCCAGACCTGCCTTTTCCTTTGCTTCTCATCACTTAAAGATGATCAGGTGTGAAGCCTAGCCTCGGTCTATCAGTTAATGGGATTTTAGGCAAATCTCCCCAAACCTTCTTGGGCCATATTCTCCCTAACTGCAATGACCCCGAAAGGGCTAGTGCCTTACCTACCACACAGGATGTTGGTAGAGGTCAAGGATTCATCTATAGAGAGTCCTGCAGAAACAGTCAAAAGGACCATGTTGATTCAAGGTATTGCTTCCTAACCTTAACTGTGATTTTCCTGCCCACTGCAGTTTACAGAGCCTGTGCTTGATCTTATTAGGTCCTCACAACCTGCAGATGGCTGGCCCAAAGCTAGTAAGAATATCAGTCCGGGACAAGCTTAGTCTAGTGTTCCTTCTTTTTTTTTTGTACCAGGGATTAAACTTGGGTCCTTGCACTTGCGAGGCAGGCAGCAGAACCACTGAGCTAAATCCCTGGTGCCTAGTGCTCTTTCTATTAATCAACAACTGCTACAACTAATGTTGTAGGCTACCTGTGCACAGTCTACTGCTCTCTAATCTAAGGCTTGCAGCTCACTTACCTGGGCCACTAACTTCGGGAACGCTCCTGGGAAAGCCACCCCCTCACCCCCGTGGTCTTCAGGGTGATGTGCAAGGAGATACACTGCCCAGCATGAGTGAAACACTTGAGGATGCACTCTGAATAGTATTTAACCATAGCAAAATAATTACTTAAGCTTTCCTAACATGAATGACCCGGCATGGTCACTCAGTCACCGTGTCAGAAGTCAGCGGTCACATGTAATGTGAGAAGTTTCTAGGAAACAAAGGCAACATCACAGTTGCCACTTTCTTCATAGTTATGCCACCCACTGCACAAACACAGATCTGTTCATTGCTGCAAATTTATAATTCTTTGTAGTCACAGGCAGAATGAGCGTGAAATCCTTACTCTGCCGCTTAGCAGTCTCCTGAAAAGGCCTAAAATGAGATACTGTATTGAACACAGCAGAAATTTCCATTTTTCTTTCCCACTGTTCTATAAGAAATAACTGTCCAGATTTGCTACATAGCACTTATTTCCAAAGCCAAAACCAAACCACAACCCAAGAGCCCACTTTCACCTGTGCCTTCAAGTCTATGAATGAGTTAGAAAGTTACTGCTTTTCTAAAGAAACAACAGAGAACCATTTTGAAATTGGATTGTTGAAAATGGTTCTAACACTGTGATTTTTTAAAAAAAGTACCCACTATAAAAACTTTTGTCTGCACACTTGAAAACTAGGAAGCAGCTTGTTAAAACCTGTTTTTACAGTCTAAATGAAACTCCTCAGTGAGTTTTAATTTCTTTGTTACACCTTCCAATTATTCAAAAGCACCATTGGCTTCAGATGCAAATTTGGGTTAACTTGTTAATTTGTTTGTTGAATTTCCATTAAAAGCCTTTTCATTGTTGGTAAATGGGATGGAAAATGAGTATCGTGATTTAAGGACTGCAATCAAGGAAGTACTGTACTTGTTTGAATCTACCAATCTTTGACAAGTATCTTTTCTAGTTAAAACAGCCATTTAACTTTCACTTAAAAGTGATTTTTCACCTGGGTGTGGTAATGAATACTTGTAATACCAGCACTCTAGGAGGCCGAAGCAGGAGGACCCAAAGTTTGAGCCCAGCCTGGGCAATTTAGCAATTCAGCAAGCCTCTGTTTCAAAATTTAAAAATAAAACAGCTGGGGGGTGGGGGTTGGCTCAATAGGAAGACCCTCTTGTTCAATCTCTGGTACAGCAAAAAAAAAAAAAAAAAAAGTATGATGAAAATTTATTTTGGCTTAGTTTGGGAGGTTTCAGACCTCATTGCTTGTGTCTGTGGCAAGGAAGAGCATTGTGGTGGGAGCCCATGGCAGAGCAAACCACTCTCCCATCACCAGGGAGCAAAAAGGCAAGGCCCGAGTTCCACAGTCCCTCTGAAGCCCGGCGTGCTCCCAACTCTCCGGAGATCGCCCGCTAGGCTCCACATCTAAGTTTCCACCGCCTTCCCACCGGCCGGCTCCCGGGCCCAAGCCTGCACTCCGTTCGCCTGCGAGAGAATCTACCCCGTCGTAGCGAAGTCTATTTGCCAACCTGTAACTGACACAATTTAGGGGAAGCTCCTGTTTCTAGTATATGCTGAATAAATGCTCTTAGCACACGTAGCACACCTAACAGTCAGAGGAACTCGGACCTTACACACACACACACCCGTGTGTGTGTGCAAATTTGCAAGTGCATACCTCGCTCTCCGGGCAACCCAGGTGGTGTGGGAGACCCTAAGCAAACACCACCGCCCGCAGAGAAAGGTTTCACCCAGGTGTAAACACTAGGCTCACCCCCAGCCCCCCATTCCCTTTTTATCTTTATTTTTAACCCTAACACTCGGGACCTCCCGACAAAGCCGCGTTATTTGGAAAGATGTAGAAACTGCGACTCTCCGAGAGGGTCACGGACGTAGAGTCGCCCCGGAAAGGCTTTCACCGAGCTCAGGAGCGGCGGCCGGGTGTGCCCCGAACTCCGGCGGCGCGAGGGTCGGCC